CGACTAGTTCAATTGCACTTCCGATAGTTTTAGGTCAATCAGTTTGTATTACATTCATTTACATATATGTAGACAGTAAAAATTAAAAACAAATAAGTAATTTATTTTTACCACGTTGTTAAAAAAAACAACTTGTTTTCAGCTGTCTTAACACAGAAGCAAGCAACACAATGGAAAAAGTTTTCTGCTTTTCGGCATCGAATTGGGGAATACCCCAGACAAAAAGGAAAAGCCCGACAGAAGAAACGAAAACCTTTTTTTTCTTTCTGTTGAGTCATCAAGCGCGTAATATTATCCAAAACATAAGCGCATGCTTACACTGCTCGCAAGAAAAACTGACTTGACTTGACAATGAACACAGAGCAAGCGAAAAAGGACAGTAAATATATATTTATTAACAGGTATATTAGAATGGATTGAATACTTACCTATGCGGAAAGATGTTCTCTGGCATATAGATGAAGGGAGAAATAAAATAAGAAATTCGTTTTTGTCTTAAGGTATTCGACAACCCTAACATTGTGAATTTTGCCAAAAATTGAATTTTTTTTATGATTGTATTTTATGGGCCATCTTATCAGCTTTATAAATATACCAAGTTTATTATTTTCCGTTCTCTAGAACAAAAACTACAAGTGATTTAGTAAAAGCAGATGCCATTACTTACAGCAAGAGGTCATACTTTAAAACGCATTTTACTCCAAATGTGTGAAAAGGCTCAAACGGGGACAGCGATTGATCAAAAAGTTTTGAAAATAATTAATTGAAGTTTTTTGTGTATGTTTTGTGTAGTAGTAGAAGTATTTTAACCTTCAGATTTATCCTTCACTGTTTTATTACAAAATTTACAGTCCCTTATGTGAATATAATCCCTATTTTTTACGCAATTTCATATAATAACTAAGATAAAGTGCTCTAGTTTTTGTAAAAATAAAAATGTCTCTTATCCTGAAGGTCTGCATGTTCTGGTTCGACTTTCTTCTAGACACTATATATGTTTTCAATGGGTCCCTTCCCATATTGGATTGAATGGTAACGAGATAGCCGATAGCTTGTCCAAGTCTGCCACTGCTGACACTTTGATGGGTGACACTTGTATAACTTTTGCCGAACTCTCCTCTATTAAAAGGTTAGAATTGAATGCATTTTGGAGAATACCCCCTGCTCACCCTTGGTATTTTGTGAAAAAACCTCGTTGGTGTCACCAACTTAATATTCATAGGTATCAGCAGACGGCTCTGTCGCGCTTTTTTAGTGGCCACATCAAGTTCCTGACTTTTCAACAGGGCCGGAAAGTTTTCCCCGTATGTCCTAGGTGCGAGGCTGATCAGGCCTCGTCATATTCTGAATTGTTTGAGTTTTTCATATGACGAGGTTTTAGGACATCCTATCTTATTTCTGGATTTTTTGGAGATTTTTGGTTTTATGGAGATGGTGTAGCTGAGCTACACCATCTGGGATAAGAAACAACAACAACATGTAACTGTTAAAACAATGACAAAAGTTGGCGTCGAAAACAGGTTTTTCAGCCAAAATAGCCAAACTGGGTGTGCATTTTACACCAATGCAGACAAATCATGCTCTTTTTTCAATTCCTGCAATTAGTTCAGTCTCTCCTTATGTATATATATATATATATATACTAGCTGTTACCCGCCCGCTTCGCTGGGTATTTCATGATGTTTTATAAATTTTTACTGCTTATATATATGTATAAATTATTGATATCTAAGTCCTAGCATTAAGAATTCGATTGTATTGAAAAATATACTTATACCTTTAACTGTCGCAAAAAAAAAGGGCAGAACTCATCTAATTTGTATTTTCTAAAAATCTCTAAAACTGAAGTATAGAATGATATTTGCTCTTTCCTAACCCAAAAACCAAGTGGATTCCCGCAAAACCAATTTTCGGTGGATCTCTACTCCGTAAATTGAACATGCAAGCCAAATTTCAAGTCTAAGTCTAACAGAAAAAAAGAAGTTTTACTATCAATATCTCCGTAATACCGTTGAGAGCCGTTTTCCAAAATAACCGCTCTTAGAGGATTTCAATTCAACAAAAGAAAAATGCAAACCAAATTTCATTATTATAGTCCTTGTAGCTCGAAAAAAGTAATTTTTTTTGTCAATACGTCCCAGTAACTCCCTGCACCCCCCCTAAGAACTTTTGCTTAAAATACATTCTTAGTGGATCTCTATTCAACAAAAGAAACATGCTTAACAAATTTCAAGTATATGGGTCTAACAATTAAAAACATTAATTTTTTTCTGTAACTCCTCTTGACCCCTCGCAAACATCCTTAGGGGTCAATTTTCGTTTCACTCTTTGTTAGAGGAACTCTATTTCATGAAAGGAACATACCTACCAATTTTCAAGCAGGATGATCAAGTAGTTTAAAAATGGAAATATTTATCGATTACGCCTCTTAAACTCCCGAAATTAAACTTGGTAGTTGATATTCGCAAAACCCATTTTGTAGCGGTTCTCTACTTTACGAAAGGAATCTGCTTATCAAATTTCAAGACTGTACGTCTAACAGTTTAAAAATGGGGATAATTGTCTATAACGCCACTTGAGCCCCCGCAACGCCACTTCTGGGTCTGTTTTCACAAAACCCATTTTGTAGGGGAATTGCACTCTATGAAAGGAATCTGCTTAGCAAAATTTGAAGACTGTGTGTCCAATTAATTAAAAATGCAAAAAAATTATCAATAACGCCCCTTGAACCCCCGCAACGCCACTTAGGGGTCGATTTTCACAAAACATATTTTGTAGTGTATTTCTATCCTATGAGAGGAATCTGCTTACCAAATTTCAAGACTGTGAGTCTAATGGTTTAAAACTAGAAATAATTATTTATATCTGCCCTTAACCCCCTGCAACAACCCTTGGGGTCAATTTTCTCCAAACCCGTTTTGTAGCGGATATTTACTCCATGAAAGAAACATTTTACCAATTTTCAAGCAGCTAGGTCAAGTAGTTTAAAAACGAAAATATTTATCTATTACGCCACTTATACCCCGCAACGCCACTTAGAAGTCTGTTTTCACAAAACCTTCTTATAGCTGACTCTATTAAATAAATCTATTTATCAAATATAAAGACTGTGCGTCTAATAGTTTAAAAATGGAAATAATTATCTGTAACGCCCCTTAAGTCCCGCAACGCCACTTGGGGCAATTTTCACGAAACCCATTTTGTAGCGTATCTCTTCCCTATGAGAGGAATCTGCTTACTAAGTTTCAAGACTGTACGTCTAATAACTTAAAAATCGGAATTTATAACGCCCTTAAACCCCCCCCCCGCAACACCCCTTGGGGTCAATTTCCCCCAAACCTGTTTTGTAGCGGATATTTACTCCATGAAAGAAACATTCCTACCAATTTTCAAGCAGGTAGGTCAAGTAGTTTAAAAACGAAAATCTTTATTTATTACGCCACTTAATCCCCTGCAACGCCACTTAGAGGACTGTTTTCACAAAACTTTCTTATAGCTGATCTCTACTCTATGAAAGAAATCTATTTATCAAATATAAAGACTGCGTCTAATAGTTTAAAAATGGAAATAATTATCTATAACGTCCCTTAAGTCCCGCAACGCCACTTGGGGGGCAATTTCCACGAAACCCATTTTGTAGCGTATCTCTATCCTATGAATAGGAATCTGCTTACTAAGTTTCAAGACTGTACGTCTAGTAACTTAAAAATCGGAATTTATAACGCCCCTTAAACCCTCCGCCCCGCAACACCCCTTGTGGGTCATTTTTCCCAAAACCCCATTTTGTAGCGGATATTTACTCCAGGAAAGAAACTTACCTACCAAATTTCAAGCAGGTAGGTGAAGTAGTTTAAAAAGGGATATATTTATCTATTACGCCCCTTAATCCCCCGCAACGCCACTTAGAAGTCTGTTTTCACAAAACATGTTTTGTAACTGATCATTATTTACGAAAGGAATCTATTTATCAAATTTAATGACAGTGCGTCAAATAGTTTAAAAAGTGAAATAATTATCTATAACGCCCCCTAAGCCCCTGCAACGCCACTTGGGGATCGATTTTCACCAAATTCATTTTGTAGCGGATCTCTGCTCTCTGAAAGGAATCTGCTTACCCAATTTCAAGATTGTACATCAAGTAGTTTAAACATGGAAGCAATTATATATAACGCCCCTTAACCCCCTTAACGCCCCTTGCGTTTCGAATTTCGGAAAATCCGTTCTTAGCTGACGTCTACTCTATGAACGGAACATGTCTACCAAATTTCAAGTCTGTAGGTTGAATAGTTCCGGAGATATCGTGATCAGTCAGTCAGTCAGTCAGTCAGTCAGTGTGTGTGTGAGTCGCTTTTCTTCTTTATATATATAGATATATATCTTATTCAAATATTAAACCGTTAATAAAATACTTTCTATTCATCCATTCAAAGTAGGAATTGACTTAATTTTTTTTCTTCAAACAACTGTAAAATTCTTTTTCTTCTAATCTCCTTACCATAGAACATCTTTTTTAGATATAGGTAAGTTCCAATTATATAGATATGATTTTCCTCCAAATAGCCGCCCACACTAATTTATATTTATACGATAGAATTATGGATTTCTGAGAGAGAAAGAGAGAATTTCTACAGTTGTGCTGAATTTTTTTGCAGGAATTTTTATGACTTTAATTTACATTTTTATAATCAATATATCTATAAAATAAATTTAAGTATTATAAATAATAATAAAGATGACTGGTCACATTATATGTTTTACCCTCATTATATAAGAATATTATATAAAAAACAAGTAATATAAAAAGAAATTTGTAAGTCAATTCCTACTAGGTATATATATGCATATGACAGAATCACAATATTAAGTGGCAAAATAGAGAAAGCTATTTTCCTTTCTAATATATAATGTTAGACTATTTTTTTGTTTCATTTATAAAAAAATTTAATTTTTTTTAAAAAATAGTATAGTTTAAGAAGAAATCACATTCTCAGAAATTAAGCCATCCCAAGTGGGATTCGAACCCACGACCTTTGAGTGAGAGGCTCAACGCGCTATATATACTGTTCTATATATACTGTTAGACTATTATTTTTGTTTGTTACTATTTATTCATTTTTTAATTTAATTAATGTAAACACCAAGTGTCATCCACTATAAGTTTAAAAATTGTATTTGAGCTTGAATGGATGAATATAAAGTATTTTATTTGCAATTGAAAATTGGAACAAGATATAAAAAAACAAGGGGAGAGTGAACTAATTACAGGCATTGAGAGAGAACAAAGCGAGAAAGATAAACTATATTCAAATTTTCTAAGGAAAGAATTTCTGCACGTGAAGACTTTTTAAACCATTTCTATTTTTTAAAGACTCTAATTTTTCACTTTGTGGCACTTGATGAAACAAGTTTAGTTTCGAAAAATATCCCCCATTTTTAGAAATCAAATTTTATTTCTGAAGAAAGATGACTCACCAAATTTTTGTTAACCATTAGAAAAATAGCGCAGTTAAAAGAAGCGCAGTTTTTAACCGGGAAAAAAGTGATGCCTTAGCGAAAATTACTCACACACATTCCCGCTTTCTAACTAAAACGGCGATAACATAAATTTCGAAAAAAGAGAAGACATGACATCACACCTCTTCTCTGACGTCACAGTGTACTTACGTTTACAAACTTAAAGAATCCGGAACTGAGGGATGGTAACAAGAATTTCAAAAAAAGAACAACTTTTTCCAACAGTATAATCTTTCGAAGGGTACTTAATTGTCTTCGCTAAAAGCAATTGGAAAGCTGTTTCAAAATATTTCCGATTTTTAGCTGTCTTAGAATATTTCTTCTTCTTTTTTTTTTTAAAACTTCTTGGTATTATTCCGTTAGAAAAGAAAAAAGTATTTGAGAAAATTTTTAGTTTTTGCCAGCATAGTGTTTTTCAGAAAATACAATATTGGGAATAGTTTTTCCTTTTATTGTACATTGGATCTCAATGCAATTCTATGATTAGGATTGTAAAAGCATTTGATAAAGCAATGCACACGAATGTAACTAATCCTTTTTCTTATAAAGAAACAACCCCATTGAATGCTTGACCCTGGGATTTATTAGTTGTGATTGCAAATAATGCTCTATTCAGGATATTGTAAAATACTTAAAGACAAAGGACATTTCTCTCTCTCAATGTCCCTTTTTGCAATTAAATTAGTTCTTAGTATAATAGAACAATATCATTCTTTATACCTTTGTTAAAATGTTGTATATTATAGCTCCTTAAATTTTAAGGAAGCCACGGTAGCCTAATGGTCATGGTCATAGGCTCATAACTGGTATAAAATGAGCTCGAGCCTAGTGACTTTGATGACCCGCCGTGTAGAGGGACTAATGCATGTCGAATCTATGCCCTTTCTTTTGTGTATGCATGTGTCTTCAAAGTCCTTTCGTTAGTGCAGAATTTTGGAGAGGGGGTGATGTCTTGATCACTTGACCATGGTCCAATATTACGAAGACTGTCGCCAACAGCCTTCGATTTGCTATTTTGGGTAACGTTAATAAACACTCAGGCTTATTTCTTAAAATTATTTTAAACAAATTATATAATAAAGCAGGCAAAATTGCAATTTTAATAATTAATTAATTGCTTCTTTTGAATTTTGAGTGCGTTAGAAAAAATGAAAGACTATCATGAATAAAATTCTAGGTAAGGAAAATCGTCTGAAGTTTTTTTTTTTACAAAAACAGGTAAAGTTGTTTTATATAATTAAGATATATTCATCTTTATTATATAAAACACCAAACTGACACTCATGGTCGTTCTCAATATATTATTTTTGTAAAACTCCGCTCTGTTGGTCAGTCTTCACAGCTTGAGCATAAAAGATAAATATACAATTTTTGAATTCTATTTCCCATATACTTGAAATAAAATTGAATACCAATTTTCTTAATGAAATACGCGCGTATGAATTGCAATAAAATATTTCTCTTTTAAGTCATGTAATATAAATATGATAAACTTTTCTAAAGCTATCCCATCTTTAAGTACGGAGACCATGTAAATTGTATTCTTTTAAAGAAACATAGATTTTTAAAATTGATTTCAAAACGTGAGAAAGTCAGGCTGTAAATGCATATTAAAAATATTTTTTTAGTAATAATACACTTCAAAATTAGAAAATTCATTGACAAACGGGTGAAGTTATATACTTTATAAAAATGTTACTTGCTTGACTTTCTAAAATATTTTCCCCTCAGGGGGCTCGCCTTCTTTAGGTGAGTACGGGTGTCACAATCCCGAGGTGCCCTAGTGATCTTTTCCTTTTCCCACGGGGTTTACTGTCTTTGGTAAACACGGGCTTCACGAACCCGGGGTACCCTAGTGATCCTTCTCTATTTTCGACCCTCTTTCTTGTCATTCAATTCATTCTTTCTTTCTCTTTCCGTCTAGACCACAGATATTAAAACAAATGTTTGGCGCAGTATAGCCGAAATCGGCTCTTGCGCCAATAAACCCCAAAATCACTCACTCACTCATTGTAAAATGTTTTCTTAATGATTTTCTTTATTGGGTTAATTATTGCGAATTTTTCATACAATATATATTGAATATCTAGTATTACTATTACGTTAAAATTTTTTATCACTTTATTTTTATTTATAAAACTATTTAATAATCTGAAGAATTTAGAAGGAAATGTTAGTTGTTCGTTTATACATTTATATAAAAATTTAAGTTAACTAAATTATTACCCACGTAGTTTTGAGAGAAAAAGAGTACGTTGTATAATTTTTTACTTTCAAAAATACTACACAATTCAGACTTGGAATTCCTTCTCGAACTTTGTAATGGAATCAATTTAAGCAAACTTTATATATTTGAAAGACCAAAAAGCGAACATTTTTGTTAAAATATGTTAAATACCCAACTACTTCTGCATAAGTAACTATCATTCTCGATGTTTTTATAATTTTTTTACCCAGTCATATTACTCATACACACACAACTCATACGTTGCATTAAAAATAAAAGAGTACTTGCGTGTTATACCGTCCACCTATTTCGTACAACGAAAAGACATCGCCAATATATCAAAAACATGTCGCCAAATGCTGTCACTGAGTTGGCATATGTACGGAAACAGTTTCCACTATTGGCTGTATGTCGTGGCATTTGGCAACTTCCTTTGATTTGACGAAATTGATGAACGTAAGTATCAATGAAATATACCTCGTGGTGGAGACTATCTTGCGTAACACATTTTGTAGAAATGCTGCACAAAATTTACAAGTGGTTTATGATCTATTATTACTTTTATATAAATACCGTAAAATCCGGCGTATATAAAATGTGCATTTTTCATCACAAAAAATTGAAATCGAAATTTAAGGTGCGCTTATATGTCGGATATAAAAAAAATGATAATTTTAAAAATAAAAAAAATAAATAGATGAGCATAAAAAAGAAACTAGACTTGAATATATATCAAAATACTGTTTATTTAAAAGAAATGACATACCTCATGAACAGTGGTGCACACAAGGGGGGGGGGTGTCCTGGGGGTCCGGACACCTCTCCCCCCAAAGCCCTTGAGTTTTTTTTCGATTGATGATAATCCTATTTATATATAACGTAAAGTTTAATGAAGTACTTGTAATGAACAATTTCTTTTATTAATTGATGCCAATTATTAATTCAATAATTTATTTTCTACTGTTTTTTGTTAACAAAATCGACAAAATGAGACGAATCAATATGTGTTGTCTTGAGGTATGATACGAGTTGGGGAACTTTCGACCATGGACTCCCCCCTTAAAAAATCTTTATGTGCGCTACTGCTCATGAACTTAAAGAGTTGTAGTTCTAGAAGTATACTATTCTTTCAAAAGCATGGGATAATACTTCGAATACATGACTTCAAAACAGAAGAATATTGCACACGTATATTTCAGGTTCCTTCGTAAAAAAAGGGGAGGTGCGAAGAATATACCTGAAAATTAAAAAAAATAAATAAAAAATGCAGCTTGAAAGTATAGGTGCAAGTTATATACGCCGGATATTACGGCATATTTTTAATTAATAAGCAATATAAAAATGATATTCGACTATAATTTCGTTTTTTCTTTTTTCCTCTTTTCTTTTCTTATCAATTTCTGTTTCTTTTTTTTAAAAAAAAATATTACAAATAACAAACATTTTTGTTTATAAAAATCCTTTTAATTGTGATTGTATATGTGAAATGTAAAAAATTCATCGTTACATCTGATAAATTTAAGAAAAATTCCCTTTTTTCAACTCTCATATTCCTTGTAAATGTTAAATATCGACACTAAAGGATACTCGTATTCACCACTATTTATTTTTATCTTTAAATAAATGGCATCATCACTTTTTCCGTAAAATTTCTTGTTTGATAGCCAATCCCATGTCTCTGTAGCACTATCAGCATTCCTCATCGCTGACGTTGTTTCTATAGCGACTGGTTCTTTGAATGAAGACTAATAGAAAATAAATGCAAGCTTAGATGAGATTTAAATTTAAAAAATAATTTTGAAATAAACTATTCGTTTCATTTTAGTCAACGGGGTTCTTTGAAATACATAACGAATCGTGTAGTTCTGAACCACGATCAAGTAAAGTAGTATAAAAATAAATATAAAAGTTATTTTTTGAGATAAAATCAGATTTTTATCGAATAGAATATTATAAAATGTCATTTGATTTGATTCACATCGTATTATATAATTCGATTATTTTAGTTTACATATTATTGAAGTTATTTTGTTGAGGATGTTTCCGGATTCTTTGGATTAATGAATTCTTTTCATAAAACATTGTGGCTGTGGTACTTGAGGGATTCTGGTCATAAAGTCGTACCCAACATTGTTTTTATCTCGTCGTGAGTTTGAGTCCCCTTGCCACACTCACTACAAACCTACGGGGTAGAGAGGCTGGCTTATATTAAATCTGTCAAGGTTAAAATGCCTCTCGTTGCGGGGGTGTAAATGTTTGGAGAGCGAGGTGTCAACTCAGTGTTGTCCTCTACATTAAATCGTGGTTTGATTTTTGATTTCTTAGTTTAC